TGTAGAATATAAACGTTTGGTGGCTCCTCCAAAAGTGCTCAGAATGGTTCTGTTCACAATAGCCAGAAGGCAGAAACAACCCAGGTGCCCACCAATGGATGGCTGGATAAAAGAAATGACATACCCATGCAATCACATATTATCCAGCCCTGGAAAGGAATAATAGATGCTACAACATGGATGAACCTCCGAAAATTATCCCCAGTGAAAGAAGCCAGACACCAAAGGTTACAGATCGTCTGATTCCATTTATATGGAACATCAGAACAGGCAAATCCACAGAGACAGGGAGCAGACAGCCAGTTGCCAGGGACAGGGAGGAGGGGGGATGGGGAGGGACAGGAAGGAGGGAAATATCCTGTAGAGGTGATGGTTATACAACATCGTAATGTACTGAATGCTACTGAATTGTACACTTTAAAATGGTTAATTTTGTTATGTGATTTTACCTCATATATGGTTAATGGTTAATTTTAATCTTATGTAAACTTTACCTCAAAAGAAATTTGTTTTCTACTTAAACAAAGAAAGAGTGAGCCCAGCAGTGGTGCAATGAATTCTCCACTTTACCTTAAGATGAGTGTTTTCTCAGACTCTGCAGTTTGTCTCAAATTCCCCCTCCCCCGGCCCTTACCACCACTAAGGGGAAAGGGGCTCTCCATCACCTGCTGCCATTCTCCACAATGTCCGGGGCATGAAGTGGGTGCCTGGTGTGGACCCCAAGAGAAAGGTTCTTGGCCAGTTCCACGTTTTGTCTTTCCTATGCCATCTCATTTTATTTCACACATGCCACAGGTGGCATGAAATGAATATTAAGGAAGTTCCCTTGAAATTGAAAAAAAGAAGAAAAAAGGCAAAACAAAGGAAACCCCTTTATGCAGTATCCTTCAGCTTCCAGCCTGGCTGTTCTGAGACGCTTACCTCCCCAAAGCCACCTTTCCCCAGCACGCGGAACTCAGTGAAGTACTTGTCCGACACGGGCTGCATCTCAAAGACCTTCCACCGCAGAAACTGGTCGTAGAAGGGGCTGGCCAGGAAGTCCCTGAGGGGCTGGCCCTGCAGGAAGGCCATGGCCTCCGCCCGGGCCAGCGCCACCAGGGCTGCCCGCTCATCCTCGGTAGTGGCGGCCAGGCACCTGGCGCTCAGAGCCGGGCTGAGGAAGGCGGGTGGGTGCCCGGGGGCAGGGCTGCCAGCAGCGGCCACCAGCGCCTGCAGGCTGCTGCCCTTGGCCGGGCCCTCCGCCAGCTCCCAGCTCTGCACCTGCTCCAGGAAGGCCACGGCCTCTCGGTACCGGGGCACCGTGGCCAGGAAGTCCCGGAAGAGGCGGCGGCCGACG